TGGGGTCAATAAATACATATAAATGATTATTTTGCTACTCAAGATCAACCATTATGTTCATATGTAGGAGGATATTGTCAGATTCAGACCATGTCGTTCAAAACGAAAGTACTTCTCGAGTTGTGATTGTATAATGCTCATGGAATCAAATGAGAAGCTAACTAAGATGCCTTTATGAGATCAAAGAGAAGAGATATCACTTGTGAATCTTAATTTAAGTCAAATAATTTTTTTTATTTATGAGACGACAACCAAATTGAGATTTCACTTGAGTCTTGCATAAAAGAGGAAGTCCATCTAACTAAGAGGTTTTCAAACCAAATGAAATCCCAATCCTAAAGAGAGGATGCTAAAGCTAAACTGTTTGGGCCTACATTATGCATTTTGTTATAGTTTATTTTCTTTATTTTCAGTTTTATAACAGAAGTTGATTACCGCATAATGCTTCATGATGAGGCTCTGAAATTGCAGATCTATGAGTTGTCATGGTTATGCTCTAAATAACTAAAATATTAGTCTAATAGAACGTTAATAGAGGATATGATGATTACACCAATAAATGTGATATCATTTTACAACAACAAAGGAGCCTTTATACCAAATTATTGGGGTCGGCTACATAAATTCTACTCTTCCGTTCATTTCTATTATGATTTATCTCCTCCATTCAGTTAACCAGTGTTAAAAACGGCTCATTGCGACTCATGCTCCTTGCGATGTGGGGCAATCACAAAGTGCTCAGCATTTGATATGACATCGCTTGCGAGCACCTTGCGCAAGGGTGCTTTGTACCGGATGCATGCAATGCATAACCTTGTATATTTTTATTTTTTTAACATTTTAATTGGGCCTTTATACCCTATAAACCATACCCCGAAAAGAAAAGTAAACCCATTATGTCATTTTATTTTTACGAGCTCGATCAAGGACCCAAGCTCGCTCTCATTCACTGTCTGATTTTGCTTGAATATTAGTGTTGAGTTGACTTTTTATTTAGAAAATTATGAACTTTACTACAATGTTGGGTATGTTAGTGTTGTTTGGTAGTAGATCTTATTTATCTTGACATATTTTTATGTAAAAAATCATATAAATGTTCTTTCATGATGGATTATATCTTGAAAATTTGTGTATGGTGTGCGTCTTGTTTCACTTGGGCGTGCACATCGGATTGTGCCTTGCGCATGTGTGCATAAAGGGACTTTACGCCTAGTATTGTGCATCACGTATTGGTAACATCACAGTTAATTATTATTAATTGCTTCGACCCAAGTTCTTTTAGGTTCTATCTATAATTCTCTTTGTCCATTAACTATAGTCTTTCACTTCTCCTAACTAGTGCATTTAGTAGAGAACATAGTCCAAGAATCCCCTAAGTTTTATCCCTTGTCTCTAACAAACCCTCGATTTTCTATTTTAACAAAGAAGCTCATAGGTTTGACCCCTCTATTCTAAGAAGCACCCCCCGGGGGCGCCCTCACACTCTCTCAACTAAACCCTAAATTTTATCCCCCTTTTCTAAGAAGCCCTCATTTTTTCTTCTTCTTTTTGTTAACAATGACATCCCTAAGCTAACAAGAAAAGTAGAGGGCTTTTTAAAAGAGAGGAATAGAATTTAGGGGTTTCATGGTCAAAAAAAGAAAGTTAAGGACTTCTTAGAAGAGAGGGGCAAAAATTAGGAGCTTCTTTGTCAAAAATAGAAAGTTGGGGCTTCTTAGAAAAAAGGGTAAAACTTAAGAGCTCTTTAGACTATGCTCTCACATTTAGTACCCTTCGTTGTACGTGAACAAGCCATCTTAATAGTTACTCATTTTATCCTCAACAAGAGTAACATCTAATCTCCAATTGGATGCACTTATTTTTAGTTCTACCTTTTTCTAATAATTCATTTGACTAGTGTGTACCCCGTGCATAGCATGGCCGGTGTTTTCTTTAAGCATTGCATTTTGAACCTGTTTTCCTCTAAGGTTTAATACATTTGATTTGATTATTGTATGCTTAAAATTAGAAATCATATCTACTACTCTATACTTAGGGTACCGTTCATGATATAGTAAATGTTGCACATGAACATCAAATTTACTCCTCTATACTTCCTAGCTAAAGATTTACTGTTCATAAGTAACTCTTTGGATCCTCCTTTAAGTATAGAGGAGTAGAGAAATGACATAGTTTTGTGTGTGTGTGCGCATGCGTGTTTTATTTAGTTAATAATTTATTTATTTATTTTTGGTGTTTTGTCGCCTATCTTCTTGTATCGCATCTAAGAAAACCTCATCTTTCTAGTTTCGCACTACTTAACGTTAAACAGGTAGTTTAGTTCCTTTCACAATGTTTATATCTTATTTGGACCTGCTATGATTTGGCTATAATCATTAATCTGGATGTACATGAAACTCATCACTCAGAGTTTAATACATCCTTGCAGGCAACTTATGTGGAAGAAAGAGTTTGATACCAGTTATGTGGGGTTTATGAAGGATGGTGCACAGTGGCTGGTAGATAACACTGACATCAAACTTGTTGGTAAGTCGAAAAAGATATATCACTTGTATACTGGTTTTATTCATATCTGCAAACTATCCAAAAGTTTTGTGATCAGAGACCTTATTTGATAAATTCATATCCCATCAAAATCTTTTGATATACTATTTCCAGAGTTTAGTATGTCAAGTTCTGTTAATTTAAGACTGAAACCTAGCCAGTGTTTGTGAGAATAGCTATGTTGCTTTGGCCAAATTAGAACTAGAGAAGAGAATGGGATTCTTATCTGAAAGATTAAGTTGGCATAGCTTTAGAATATAAAGGTTTTAGCACATGACCATGCAATCTAAATTATTGGCTTGCCCAACCTATTGTAAAACATGCCACTGGAAACAATATTGACTGTTTAAAGAATGTTTTGGTTTAGTTACATTCATCTCAATAATAACAGAAGCATTATAATTTTTATGCTCATAATCCATTACCGCCAACTGAATATGCGCACAGGTGCACACACACCTAGATGTCACCACCAGCAGATTCACAGACACACGTGAAAATGATTGTACCAATTGATTCTAATTACTAACATAAGTTACACTGTTGACTGTTAGTGCTTGCCTTGCTACAGATGCATGCATTTAATTGTTTATATATCATTGGTAAAGTGCATCTCTTCAAGCATGCTGCATTGTGAAAAGGTGATGCTTTATTTATATCTCTTAGCTGATTACATGTGTCATTTCTTTTCTTTCCATCATATGTAGGGATTGACTATTTATCAGTGGCTGCATTTGATGATCTGATTCCTTCTCATCTGGTTTTTCTTGAAGGCAGGGTATGGGCATCTCTTTCCTAATAATACTTATGCTACATGTCACTGTTTTTATGATTTTGTTTATTTTTTAATTTTTGAGGAGAATTGTTTATATGGTTTACCGTATTTATAGACATACTGGAGTATTAATCATTCTAATAATTCTTCTGTTCAGATGCAATGTTGTTGTAATTGACTTGTCGATCATGTTTGATATTTGATATAATCTATTATCTCACATAATCATGACCACATTAAGTCAATTCTAAATCATATATTATCGTTTGGATATAAGAAAACCGCTGTCCTTATTATCTCAGAAAGTTTGAAGACCCAAGTCAGTCATACAATTGCTAAGGACCTACTACTACCAGGTTCTAGGTTAATCGACTTATGACTAATAAACTTGTTTGCAGATAAAGATGAGCTTAAAATTATCATGGTAAGGTAATATCGTATATATATAGTAATGAAGCTACTGGAAAGATGTAATTTTCAAATGATTACTTCATACTTTCTCCGAAAAGAAATTGTTATCAATAGCTATCAAGTGTGCTATGTTACAGGTCAGTGGCTATTTTTTAATCATCCAACCATCTAGACATTCTTGATAGATCAAAGGATTCATAGATTAGAGCACCTAAAGCTAGCAACAGTTGTATTCACTATTATCATTTAACTTATGATGTAAATGGGTTTTGTTGTGGAGAAGTAAAACAAGCAGGAGGACCGTTATACAAAACTTTATTCAACATATAAGACTGTAAGAATACATCTGGAAAAGAGCATATTGGCTTTACTAAACACCAAACAGTCACTAGCAGGATGCTCTCTTATATGTTAGATCTTTCTTTTAATATATATTATATGTCGTCCTTTAATGATCATTACAATTTTCATGAATGTGGTATAACTGAAGCTAACACATTTTCATATTTTATCGGTACACGTGTTCTTCAGGAAATCATCCTTGTTGAAGCCTTGAAACTAGAAGATGTTATGCCGGGGCTGTACTCTCTACACTGCTTACCCCTGAGGTTACGTGGCGCCGAGGGATCCCCAATCAGGTGCATTCTTATCAAGTAAATTATCCTTTAGGTTAGTTTGTGAGAAAGAATGCATTCTTATCAAGTAAATTATCCTTTAGGTTAGTTTGTGAGAAAGAACACATCGCCAAACCTAGTGGTACCTTCTCAATACTGTAATCTTTTTTTTTTTTTTGCTTGAAGAGAACTAGCTTGTATATATCAATGCTTTTGTGTGGCTGTAATAATCACTACGACTGAGCAGATAAATTACAGACTTTTGTTTTCACATTCTTATCTTGCAGAGCTTCTTGTTGTTACCTTTTACGTGTTGGCAAGACCCATTGTCTTGAGAAGCCTCTTCTTTAATCTGCTTATCTATATAATATGATAATATGTATCATCTTTGTTGCCGTTTGCTGAGCGTTGCGCTCCCTCTACGTACATCCTACATATGCACATAGCCTTTCTCCTTTATTTTTCGATTTACGCCTATTCTGACAAAAAAAATAAGAAAATCCTTTTGCGGACTAAGATGCTCAAACAAATTTAAATAATTGGAAAGACAGAGATTGATGTGTAGCTCGATGGTGTGAATAAAGATTCCTTTGCTTTTTGTTTGTATCAGCCTCTGTACATGGGGTTAGAAACTGAAAATCTTAATTTGTTTTCACTTATTGAGATAGCGGTATCCCATGCTCATAGTACAGATCAGGAGAGTAACCTAAGTTCTGTTTGAATTTAGAAATATCGGTTCCGCTTCCAAATTCAGGGGGAAAAAAGAATCAAAATGTGGCATGATAAAGCCAATTTTCTAAGCGACATCACCATTTTTGCCGTTTCATGCACTTTTATTCAAACATGGAAAGACCCCGAGCTACTAATTCATTCAGCAACCCCCCCCCACCCCCCCCCCACCCACCACTCATCAAAAACGGCCTATCACCCTGCTTTCATTCACGCTACTACTCCCACATGGCCCACGTCATATATCGCCATTTCTGCGGTAGCAAACCCTCTAACATCGCATTAAGTGTTGAAGCCCACAAGGCCACTCTCCCCATCCTTGACATCCTGCAATCAGTCCCGCGCCTTGCCCCATCGTCAGCCCTCCCTCACGCGAACCTCACGCCGCTCCTGCAGCCCCAAACCCTGTACTCCATCAGCGCCGGCCACGTCCTTCGCCAGCGTGCTCCGCCGATCGCTCCCCCTCGCCGTCGCACGCCACGCGCAGATCGGTTGACGCGTTACGTCCCCGCCCGATTAACGCAGAGTCGCCTGATGCGGCCGCCAATCTTGTTCATCACCGCCGGTCGCGTCGGCGGAGGCGCAGAAGCCGGCCGCGCTGTCGACACGAGCAGCCGCACCGTCTCGGGGGCGTAGCATGGTGACGGAAAGGCCCGTTCATGTGGTCACGGTGGTGTTGATTCACTGATCCGGCGGTTAGGCTGCATGTTTCTGCTCCTGGGAGTGGGATTCTGTAGTCGAACTGTGCCGTGCATGAACTTATATTAATGAGTAACGCTAACTGAAGTATAATTCCAGTAATCAAAGAACGAGGCTATTACCATGATGGTGTTTGCTTCTTTGGCTAGCTTCAACATGCCGATATTTTCCTCGGTGATGAAGTAGTCATTGTCGACAATCTCAACACCCTGACAAAGCCAAATTAATAATGTTGTCGACATTCAAGACCACTTGGGGGGAGGAAATGAAGGGCGGAAAAAAAAAACAGAAAACAAACAAACAAAAAAAGGCTCAAGGACCAATTATTTTGTCTTTATTGTTCCCTTTTGTTTGGGCGCAGCGAATCCGGAGGAATCCGTCCTCAAGTTGAAGCCACACAGAGGGAGTGGCGGTAATGAATTAGGATGCTGTCTTCACTCCGAGACATTTCGGAATCTCTGTGACAAACATGTACGGAAAAAAAAAGTCCTATACAGAACTCGCTATAAAATCAATGAAAACAGCTGTAAAATCAGCGCAATCATATATCAATGTAATCAGAACATTGTATCAATGTTCTCAAGTGTATGGATGGATTTTTATAAAGACTCACACTGGATTTATTTATTTATTTTAAATAAACAAAACTCTCTGCCCCAGTGTAACTTTGGGGGGTCAGATTCCTATCAGAATGAAACATTGTGTATAATAATGTGAGCCATGATATTTACCAAAAATGGGCCATTCACTGGCGTCAATGTTTGGATTAATATTCATCTCTGTTTGTGTGCACGGAGGCGAGGACCAGTGCTCGACAAAGAGGACTAGTTCTCAACAAATAAAAGAATAAAAAATAGGGAATCTGCCAAGGGTCCACATTACATATTCGGCCCAATTTTTTGTTTGGTCTGCTTTTCTACCTTAGAAATGCATTATATATTCCGCTCAATTTCACAAAACTCTGTTTGTAACTTTTAACGGGTTTCGGATAAAACTACCATGTCAATGTTCTTCTCATTAAGGAACATTCATCACTAACTTTTTTCACTCACCGTGATTGATGGTAGCTACAGTAATTTGGGCACATGTAACGTGCTTTGAGCAAGTTTATTCTTATTTGCTTTAGATTAGCTTTATATGCTTCTCTCATTCTCTAATGTTCCAAAGTGCGGTTGAGGCCTTTTCATATATGTTCCATGGTAATTGACGCTTAAATGCCTAAAACTTTCAGTTACTTTTCGCTTTCTTACTCTTAATATTATTCCAGTCATACTAAAAATTTTCAAAATATCATGTTAGTACCTGGACAAACAAGGAATATTTAATAACAGCTTAATATGAGACTATTACATCATAGATTGAGGACTTTCACACCTTGACCTTTTTGGGAGTTGAAAAAAAAGAAAAGAAAAGATATGATGTTCACTTAACCAGAGATACCATATTAGTTTCACTCACTTAGCGAGCACGCCCACACGTATATATCCTTAAGGCCCTATTTGGCAAATGGTTAAGGAAGATGGGTTAAAAAGAATGATTAATGTATTTAGCTCATTCGATAATCTGAAGGACTAAATTATTAACCCGTTAAATAATTTTTATTTTCGCAATTGTGATCAGTTTTAGTATTTGGGAATAACAATAATTTTGTTAATTTTCTTTATAATTAGAAGGGTTAACTCTTAATCATTCTAAATAGAAGTATTAGTAAACCCTTTATTTTGAGGAGTTAACTCATTTTAATCCCTAGAGAGCTATATTTTTTTATGTTTGTCAAATTATAGAGGGTTAACTCACTTTAATCCTTATATAGATTTTTTATGTTTGACGGATTAAGAATGTGTTAAGTCTCTTTAACCTCTCACTTAACCTTTTACCAAAAGGTACCTAATAGTTTTTTTATTTGTATAATATAGGGTATTAATTTATCCAATTAAACAACTCAGAATCTATAAATGCTAGATAATATATAAATACTAGGCATGGTAAGTTGTAGGGGTAACAAAGGAGAAATTGGGATCCTCTCCTCATCCTAATATTTTCTAATGAAGAATTGTGAAGAGTTGGAAGGAAGGGCCCACAAGAATGTGTGAAAAAATAAAAAGTCATGATGAAAGTAAAAAAAAATATATCAGTAACTTTTTATTTTATTAGGAGAGGATCCGGATCCAACAAAGGAGAGGAAACAAAGCGACAAGTACTGATAGAAAGTCTTCGTCCTAAAACTCGAACGGTCATTCAGTTGCCACGTCTTTTAACTTTATTGATTTGGAAACGGTCCAAAACAGGAATCACGGAGATTCTAAAACATATACGGACAGCTGATTCTACCACTAAAGCACGTGATCTTTATAATAATTAATTAATTGTGATGCACTCAGCTCAGCTCAGCTCACCCCCTGAGATTGTGCTATTTTTAGCCTAGGAAAATATAATTTCATAAACAACTTTTTACAAATTAAACTAAAATAGTTAAATATTAAACTAATTGTTACCATAGGTCTTAACGTGCGGAGAGTAGCATTCGCAAAATTTACGGATCTAGTAGTGTTTCTTCATTTCAATTTCTGAAAATTTTCTAAACCAAAAAGAATATGGCAAAAAAAAAAAACTTTAATATCAAAGAAGATTAAAAAAAAGGAAGATAATCTATGGAAATTAAAAAAAAGCCCTTAACATGCAAAGGTGGTATTTGCAAATTTACGGATCAATTAGTGTTTCTTCATTTTAGTTTCTGGGGGGAAAAAATCCCAAACAAAAAGATACGGCGAAGAAAATCCTCAATACCCAAGAAGATAAAAAGATAGATAATCTACGGGAATCGAAACCATCTTACAAATAAGGAGCACAAACTTTATCAGAACACACGGGATTTTACTTAATATTATTATGCAGAAGATAATATTCAAAAGCAAGTCATTAATTAAAACCTAACTGGAAAAAAAAAATGGAAAAATAAAAGGGAGAAGAATTAATTAATAAACACTACCTGCTCCCTCGCAAACTCCTCAGCCCCCTCAAACCCTAGATAACAATGCGGCGACTTCTCCATCACCAGCCTGGCCAACGACACCGGGTTCTTCACCGTCGTCACCCCCGACACGGCCCCACACCTTCGCCCCCTGCCGTCCATTTATTGCTCGCCTCCATCTCCACCGTCCCACTTCTCGGATAAGGCCGATCCCTCTGCCCGGAATTGAAACAGCGGCGATCGCTCTTCCAACTCCTGACGACCAGCTCGGACGACGTCGATCTTGTTGAGGGCTTCGACGCCGATGTTCAGGCATCGGGTTAGTAGTTCCTTGGCCGACTCTTGCACGCGCTCCGGGAGGTTGGGATCGACACCGGCGCCACCGTGGACAGCGATGGCCCAACCGCCCATTGTTGGAGGGAGTAGGGGAGAGGACACAGAGAGCGCGTGCGCGTTGGAGAGGAGGAGCTCGGCGTTTTTCGTGAAGGGGTGTGGTGGATTTTTGGCTGAGGTCGCGGTGGGAGTTTTATAGGGGCGGATCTGAGACGGGGTTATATTTCGTTTTGGGTGAGCGGGTAGGTTGGGGTGGAGTCCGTGACGTCCCGGTTTTGTGGAGGCGGGGAGGCGGGGTGAAGGGAACCCGTGGTCGATTGTTATTGGATGTTGGGTTCAACCGGCAACCTCTTTAGTGGGGGGTTTCACGGACGAAACAGGAGGGCAACCTGGTCATCTCACCGCTCCCCTAGCGGTCGCTGGGAGTTCTAATGAGATACGCATTCCTCAAAAAGTAAGATGGTCGTCTACTCGCTGAGGAATGGGAAAAGAAGATCATCGATCGCCAAAAACGATAATAAAGGGATCGCTATCTAATTAGTAGTTATGGATCTATTTGGCGGACGATTCGTCTCTGAGTGCAAATTAGCAATGCGTACAGATCGACGACCTTTAGTAAGATGGTGCTCTTTATACTATTTTTCTGACAGCGGAGAGGATCTCTTTTTAGCACTACGTAAATCTAATAGGGAATTTAATAGGAAGATATATGAGATAAAAACGTTTTCATATGGGATGAATCTGCATATGGTTGGCTGTCTGCTATTAGTTCGATCATTATGATCTACGTGATGTCCAATTGCGACCACATCGATATATGAGTAGATGATACTTGCATTGACATTTGTGTTGGATCGGTTGTCTTCGTCCTCTATCTTCTAGTATAATTATTTTCTCAAAGATCAATGATTTTTCAGAGGGGGGCGCACGAAATTAGAAGAAAGAAAAATTTATACATATAGCTTGCTATAAACAATCTAATATAAGACTTTGTATGGAAATGCATGTAAAGAGATGAGAGATGATAATATCTAACATTCTAACTGAACATGAATCGTGATCCATATGTTAATATTATCCACAATATCATTGTAATTATCGTTCATCAATAACGCTGACTATATTCTACTAAGTGCGATTATCTTCTTTCTATACGATTTTGTAAGGAGTAACCCCTATAAGATTTTTTACTTTGGTGGTAAAAAAATAATAAGGGAATCTTCTCGAGATTCAGCTGATGGTATCAGATTCCGCCATTTTATTAAGGGTGAGGGTAGCAGGAAACTAAGGCGGTGGATTTGAGATGGGGGTTAAATTGGGTTTTGGGTAAGTGGGTAGGTTGGGGTGGCGTCCGTAACGTCCCGGTTCTGTGGAGCTGGGGTGGATGGAATCTGTTCCGAATTCTTAGGTACACCTGGCAATCTCTTTGGCGGATGAATTTGAGAGAAGTAAAAACTGGGGCTCTAATTTGGAGGACTAAAGTAGGAGGTTTGCATGGAGAAATTCTTGCCTACTCATCGGAGTGGTCACAATACCTATACCCCTCCAATGGAAAGAGAGCATGTGACACTAGAGGGAGATCGTGATGTCACATTCTCCCCTCCGTTGATACATGTCCCCCTCCTATTACAGGGGTGTAGGTACTTATAGTGCTCTATGAGCACCTAAGAATTTCTCGTTCGACATGAGGTTTTTTTTTACACAGTTTAAAATGTAATAACTTCGGATATTTCAGCCATGCTTTTGGATATAGTTTAATATTTCGATTTTATACAGTATGGTTGGGGATCTTGCTCAAAGATGATGCTATCCACCCCCATTGGGGGGGAGGGGGTATAACATATCACTGTCACGTAGTTGTTAAAATTTTCTGTTCACATGTGGAGAGCCTTGGTAAGATATATGTTCGTTAAAAAGTGAGGGAATCTGCTCACCGAGGGGGAAAAAGATCCTCACCAAAAACAATAATAAATAGATCACTATTTATTGATTTATTTGGTGGAAGATTTGTCGTTGAGTGCGAATTAGCAATTTGTGTAATTCAAGGAGGATATAATTAATGAATGATAGATATAGAATGAGTCGTAACAACCCACTAGACAATATTAAGAACAATTAATGAGATTGTACTTTCTCTACTATTTTTTTGGTGGTGGAGAAAAAAAATTTATACTACATAAATCTAAATGAAAAAAATTATAGGAAGATGCGAGATTAAAGCATTTCATATGGGATGACTTTGCATAAATATATTTGGCTACCAGCTATCATTTTGATCAGTGTAATCTATGAGATGTCCAATTACAATCACGTCAATATACGATTTGGCTACTTTGGTAGATGATATTGATACTTGCATCGATATTTGTGTCGGATCGATTGCCTTTGTCCTCTATCTTCTAGTATAATTTTCTCAAGCGAAATGCTTTTTGGCTCGCAAAAAGCAACGCGCAGCCAGCGCGCAAGAGAGAGGAACAGGGGGGGTGGGCCCCACAGCTGGGGGGCCCACCCCCCTGTTCCTCTCTCTTGCGCGCTGGCTGCGCGTTGCTTTTTGCGAGCCAAATAGCAGCTCTGTTTTCTCAAAGCTCCAAGATTTTTGGGAGGATGACGTGTAAAATTAGGAAAATGACTTGCTATATTCTATTAAGACTTTTTATAGAAAATCGTATAAAGAGACGAGAGATGATAACATCTGATTTAATATGTATCTTGATACATATATTAATATTATCAACATGCAATATCATTATAATTACTGTTCATCAATGCTCGCTATGCCGATACTAAAGGGCTGTTTGGTTGTTGTTGGTAAAGTTGTGTATTTATGACACAACTTGGAAAGTTGTTGTCCACCTCATCAATTTCACTTTTATACTTTTCTTTGTTTGTTTTTTATTCCATTGGAATCATAAAACACTTGTTTGGTTTGCAAAATGAAACTTTAATTGTTTGTTTGGAAAGTGTAAAAAGTGGTCCCTACTCAAATAATCATATTGGTTGGAATTATTTTTTATTATTTTTTCCTAACTTCAATGTTAGCTTTCTCCTAAAATCATGTCTTTTTTTTCATGAAATCACTTTACAAGCCACATCAGCATATGAAATCACTTTACACTATTTTCACAACTATAAACAAACAATTGAAAGTGATGAAAGCTGACATTGGGACCCATTTTTTTACACTTTACATTCTTTTACATGGTAAAAACATACAACCAAACAGCCCCTAATTACAGTGACAACGACTACTAAAGGCGCTTGTCTTCTTTCGAATATAATTTTGAAAGGAATAACCCTAGATTTTTCCTTCGGTGGTAAAAAAAATGAGGGAATCTTCTCGAGATTCAGTTGATGGTGTCAGCCTCCATCATTTTATAAAGGAGAGGGAGCGAGATGGAGGGTTTTCGCCAGTCTCTTCTGACCATTGATCAGTGCAACGCACACAAATTAAGATTTTTATTACTTAATTATTTTCCTTTTTTTAAATTTTTATTTCACGTGCATGTACTAAAGGATAATTTTACAAAATTGATCGGTAATAGTCACCGAGTCAGTGACACGTAAGTATAGCATATATTGTTATGTACTAAGCTTTGATTTTATTTTAGTTAAATTTCAATTTAATAGTTATCGAAATCGATGAATCAACTTGATCAGCCTATGAATATTTGATACTTATTTTTTTAATAAAAAACGATAGCATAATCTTTTTTGAGAATTTGCATGAATTTACCATTGAAAACACAATTAATTTTCCACTTGATTTTTCTAATACTTTCCACGAAATTTGCATGAACGCAATGAAAACGTTTATTTTATAGATGGAGACGACAATTAGGTTTGTTGCTCTTTGCCTAACTTGTTGCGCTTGGCTTGGCTATCCAATTAGGAGTTAGTTTAATGCCACTTTGTCTCGTTAAGCCTTAAACTATGCATTAATTTGCTTGTAGATTAGTTAATCCAAGTAATGAAATGCTCAAATAATTAAAAAAAAGGGCCTACACTTGAAGAATTGATCAAGTACTAAATTCAAAAGGCGTGTTCTACCGTTTCATCTGCATCACTGTGACCGGACTAGTCGACATTAAGGTGTTCACTTTTTTATGTACGGTTTTCTATAGAGTGCTCATGGACACTTTATAAGAAAGGAGAGGGATAAAGAGAAATAAATAGCCCATTGACCCCCCTGATTTGCATTAATTTCTGTGCATAATTCATTTCTCTCTATCTCTCTCCTCTCTTATAGAGTGCTCATGGGCACTCTATAGAAAAATCGTATACTTTTCCTCTGCATCAAAGTTTTATCTAGATATCATAATTATTTAGATATAAATAGTTCATTAAAGTTTTAAAAAAACTAGTATAATGTACATGCTTTGCATGTGAACTTACATATTTTAAGTTTTGAAATTTTTATTAAATATTAAAACTATGTTTTAATAAATAAAATCGTATAATAAAATTGCTTTAGAATGTATTAATTAATTAATTATCGTGTTATTATTGTAATTGAATATTTTTGTTATAATAATCGCCTAGTGTTAACCTTTTTTAAATAAGTCCCCAAATCTAAAATTGTTCTTAAATAAAACTATCGATTCTATAAATTCTCTTCAATATGCCCCTCCAACTTGAAAGTTATTAACTTAACTCTAAAATAACTAAGTTACGTTAATCTTGCTAGCTTTTTCTTGATGTTCCCTAGATAGTTACGTTTGATACCTGCAACATATTGTAATAGTTAATTATCATTATAATTATTTAATAGGGAAAATTACACTAAACCCTTATGAACTTTCAACTCATATGAACTTTTAAAATTACACTGAATCCCTAATAACTTTTCTATTTTAAAGAAGGCCCCTAGTAACTTTCTAAATTTTGCAAATAATCCCTATATATTAGAACTAGAAAATGACATAAAAATATATTTTGAAAATTATTGGGTGTTTGGTGTAATTTATCTAAAAGATATTGAGGCCTTTTTACAAAAGTTATTAGGGGTTTAGTGTGATATTGAAAGTTTATAGGGTCTATTTACTACAAAATGCTAAAAATTCATTGGGGTTTATTGTAATTTACCTTATTTAATATTATAGTTTTTAGTTCAAGTAATACTATTAAAATAAGTATATTGTCTATATAATATAAAATATTTATCTAATTTAAATTTTTTAAT